AAAAACCAAAATTGTTCATATGCTGAAAAATATATTAGTAGTTTCTTGTCATTCTGACACCTAAATGTTTAAAAACCTCTATTATGGATAAATGGAAAAACTTAAAATTGCCTGTTTTTTGAATAAATATATTGGATCTTTCTTGTCATTTGGGTGCTTAGAAGATCAAAATCCCCTGTTAAGAGTAAATGGAAAAATTGAATTGCTCATATTTTGAATAAGTGTGTTAGGTCTGTGCTGCCCTCAGATGAGGAAGAGGATGCAGTGTGTTGAATGCTTTCTACAGATGGAATGACACACTGAAGATGTCAGGTCATCATGAGCTGGACAGACAGCACAGCCAGATAAACAGAGGAGGAGGTGGGGCTATTCATGGCTTTCTGGTGACTTAGGCTGAAAGTTTTATGTGCCTATTTTTCCTTCTTTCGTTAGTTTTGTTTTGGTCTTGTTTTCAGTAGAGGGTCATCTGGGAACCTTCTAGCCGACCCTCCAGCAGAGGAGCTGCAGTTTTCCTGGATTTTGTCTTGTGCTGAAGGAATTAGGAAGCACTGAGTTGCAAGGATAGTGGCTTGTGGTGACATGACCAGTACAGATCCTTGGTAATTGACTTGGAAGAGTATTTTTCAGTTTGCCTGTGAAAGAGCAAATATGTTAACTGTACCATTATTTTGGGATGGTGTTCCAGTCCTGATGACATGGGTATATCCTCTTGCCCTCCTGAGTGCTAGATTGTCAATTTCTTTTTCTTAGAGGGAATTCTGTCCAGGTGAGCTGAAAATATTTTATTTAGCAAGAATATTAGCTTCCAGCCAGGCACGGTGGTGCCTTTAATAACCAACACTCAGGAAGCAGAGACAGATGGATCTCTGTGAGTACAAGGCCAGCCTGGTCTACATAGTGAGTTCCAGGCCAACCAGGATTATATAGTGAAACAATGCTTTAAATAAATTTGGTTCTGAAGGGTAATAGAAATCCCACTAGAACAGAGTGTGGGGATTTCCCGTTCAATGTTAACAAAATATTTTTTTGAATGTTAGATACTGGACCCAGGAGAGAAAAAGACTCCAGACACTGTTACAAATCATGGGAATTATGTTTCTAGTCGATTTATACCACTGACTCTGTGATTCTTAATGAGATGTAGGGTTTATCAGACATGCTGTCTTACATCTGCAACAAAGCTGAATTGGTAGAGTCAGTTTTAATGAACAGTGTGAACATCTGCATTATCTGATGGTCTGTGAGCCCATGTCTGTTTCAGAAATCTTGAAGTGTTTGTGGAGTTCGGAGTGGGGTAGTCCCAGGGAACTGCTGTCATTTGGGGAGCATCAGAGTCCCCTTTCCCTCACCTGAACTCACTATTTCCTTTTCAACCTTTCAACTTTGCCCCATGAGGCTTTCTATAAAAGCCACGAAGCTCCCATGCTATCCGCAGACTTCTTTAGTCCACTGATTGAGTCGTCGAAGGCACTTGGCAGGATGGGGGCTTTGAGAAGAGATGGCTGCTGTGGCCACTGTGCAAAACTGACCTAATTCGCAAGTGGCCATTTTTTCTGTTGTCCTTTGCTCTCAGCACATTTCAAAATAAGTTTCAGATTTTATTGAAATTTTTATTTATTTTTATTTTATGTGTATGAATGTTTTGCCTGAATGTAAGTGTACCATGTGTATGCAGTGCCTGTGGGGGTCAGAAGAGGGTGTCAAATCCCCAGGAACTGGAATTATAGCTGGTTGTTAACCTCCATGTGAGTGCTGGGCACAGAACCTCCTCCTGTCCTCTGCAAGAACAGCCAGTGCTCTTAACTGCTGAGCCACCTCTCCAGCCCCTAGATTTTATTTTTGGCTGAAGAATTTATTTAAAAGCAAACATGCTAAGTGATAAATAAGCAAAAAACCCTTCCTGATTGGCTATTTTTAGTGTCAAAACTGTAGGTTTAAGAAGAGGTGTAGTAATCATCATTTCTCATTTATGTTGCAATAATTATATTTGTTCAGTCATTTTAAATGATGCTTTTTAAATGGCACAGAAAAATATATTTAGTAAATGTTATGTGAATCAAGCATGGTGCCAAATAGCTTCAATTATATAAAATTCTACATATGTGCGGACAAGAAAGACAAATGAAATATATTAAATGTGAGCAGTGTAGGTGTAGGATTATGCAGGATTTCTTTTTCTTCTAATGAGGATAAAAAGCAAGTATAAGATTCTGCTTCCTTCTGGAATTCTTCTCTGAATAAGTGGGAAGTTGTTACTTCTGTATTCCTGTATTTTGTAAAATTGTTTCTTTTGTTTCTTTTTTATGTATAAATGTAGTCCATTACACATTAAACAAATACATTTTCTTGTTTTTACAGTGGAAGTTTAAAAAAGAATCAGCATACTGTTCATGAACCCCTGCAATGTAAGAGAAAGAATTTCTTAGCAGAAATAGTGCTGGGTAGCAACTGAGCAATTGCTCTGTCAGGCCCTGTTCTGAGCGAGTTATCTGTACCAATTTGTTTAATTAGCACAACAATCTTTTGAAGTCATTAGATGTTTTCCATTTTCTAGGAGAGGAAATTAAGACATAGGAAGGGTGGGGGACTCACTTTTTCAGAGGCCCAAAGTGGTAGGTGGGGACCTGGGGTTTGAAGTCATCGGCCAGGGCCCTTTACCTGGAGATGCACTGGGATGAAGTCAATTCCATTTTTGAGCTGGGATTGAGATGAGGCCACTTCCCATTAATACCCAATCTTTACTATTTGACAGAAGCTCTAAAAGACAGTACCTTTTGTATAGTGTGCTTACAAGATATATGA